TAGCTTATTGTAGTTCTATTTTTCACTTAGGCAATAAAATTGGTAATGACTGTGTGAACATTTTTTGTCGGTGCTAAAGGGTTAAAACACGATTTGATTAGTAACAGAATTACCAAACGTTCTGCTCATTATTTTGTTTTAAATTGCCTTTAGCGCGGGTACCCAATGATTTGGTTTGCCCAAGGGAAAAAACCGAATGATTTGCCTATATATCAAAGAAAAGCACTGAAATCTTAAGGCTTTTATTCTAGTAACAGAAACAATAAATTCACAATAGAAAATCTGAGCTTTTGCTCTCCTGCCATTGACATACGTCATGCTACAAGAACTGTCCTTGCAGTTCAACAGTCTTGTTTTACAATGATGAAAGTAATAGAACCAACTAAACATACTGTTTATACATATCTTACTTGCTCCAATAGTTTTTACTCACTCGAAGATCTGTATAGCTATTTTTATCACCACAGGTTATTTCCAAAACATTGCACTGGGTCATATAACCCCCAGATCTTTCAGTGAAACACGTCAAATAATATAACAAAATCTGTTATCTTATCTTTTATTTTCCAAGTGGTCACGGTAGTATCTTACAATCTTCAAGATAGATTTTTCATGGAACAAAATACAAATTCCATATCATAATTTTGCGTCAAATTTAGATCAACCATTGTTAATCTGTGTCGTTTAACAAAGATATCTTCCTCTTTCAACCAATCCAGTTTCATACTACTGAATGCTATAATAAAGAATGTAGTATTTGTTTCTTTTAGCTTTTGTGATCTTGTTTATTGTGCTACGAAAATAAGTACTTCGAACAATTCTGATTCTGGTTTGAATCTATATGAACAAGAACGTGTATCCATAATAGCTTAGTGCCGACATGCAAACAGAATATAGATTAACATTGCCGTTAACGATTAGAACATCGTTAATCTTCTTCAGGATACACGGCAAACATTGCATTGAATCTATGTAAAAGTATGATATGATTATTCGTTCTATCTATTGATTTCTAATTGTAAAGATATACGCCATGGCATAAAAACGACAAGATGACAATGTCCAAAATCAAGATCATTGCGTCTTCGCCTTCGCGGCCTTTTTATCAAAAAAAAAAAAAAAAAAAAAAAA